GAAAGAAAGAAAGAAAGAAAGAAAGAAAGAAAGAAAGAAAGAAAGAACAAAAAAGGCACACACAGACACAAAACTATGAAGTTTGTGTTGGTCACCTACTCCTGGGCATGGGGCTGCCCTGGATGTGGTTGGCATACCCAGTGGCACTCTGCTGGAGAAAAACGATGTTCCCTCTTCCAGCAGGTATCAGTTGCTCATAGATTCTCAGTTGGGGTGGGACTTGTGCCCACTTCTTCTCAGTGTTGGGAGAAAAGTTAGGATGCTGAATATTTCACTCAGATGTTAGAAAATTGTCCAGTGTTTCCAACTCACAATAGAGCTGTTGCCTACACAGTGTCATCACATCTAGTCAAATGCTGTTGGCTTAGTCTGATTATACAGAGACATACACAGGTGAACCTCTCAAGACCTCTTAAACACATCTGTGTTCACACAGTCTGGCAGTTCCATTTGCAGAAAAATCTCAGCCTCAAGATTAATGGTGTTTGTCAAAGAAAGCAATGTTCCCCAGAGAATGGTCCAGAGTTACAATGACTGGAGGGGCATGGGAACACTGGAGACTCCTCTCTTGTTCTATAGAGCTAGCTGTCAAACTGGTGAAGTTATCTGGTCTCCACATCTCCCTGGGTTTCCCCACCTCCTTGTGAACTGGAATCATTTGTGAAATTCTGCTGTTCATTAAGTGGAAGAGCTAGAATCATTGTGAGAGCACAAGGAGGAAGTGCAAGTTCTGTCATGGGAGATTGTGGCTTTGAGAGAAGATCCCCATGACGCATGGAAAGAGGATGCTTGGCTATAAATGTGAACAGTGTGTTGCCATGTGTGAAGTACTAGGCTCTCAAGAGATGCAGGGGCTAAAAGGGGGATGTGTAATCAATTACATGACAGTAGTTGACTCAAGATTACATACACAGTGAGAAAAAGAACTTATTTCTAGACTGACAAGCCGCCATGTATCTTTGTGACTGTTCTAAGCTAGAGTAAGGTCAAGCTTCTTTGCACAAGTTGGCTATGGGCTGGTAGGTCCACATTCATTAGTTTTAGAAGCTGGCTTGGCTTGGGACCTCTGCTTCCATCTGTTTGTTTTGTGTCATATCTTTTAATATTCAGAAAGACTGAGAGAATCAAGAACAGACACAAGGAAAAAGACTTATTAAGCGTTGTTGATACTAAATGAAGCAAGAATAAACTGACAGCATATTTGTTAACTACTGTATCTACAAATTAAGATGGCAGTTTCTTGACATTGATCTGTGTGTGCTTCTTTAACTAGCATGACACAGAAATAAGAGCACAATGAGACAAGTTGCTGTCCATACTGAGTCACTTGGTGTGTTCAAGAACACTGTCTGTGCTGTGCACAGGAGGTCTAGAATTTACATCTGCAGGACACTCCTAGCAAGTCCTCAGATGGGAACACCATACATGGAAGCTAGAGACCATCATTCCCATATCTGAAGCTAAGTGAAGACCCAGGAGGGAGTGGGAGAAGGCACTGTGCTCAAAGCACAGGGCTTCTACAAAAAAGGCCACAGTTGGTTTCGCTTGGAGCTTTGAGAAGCAGGTAGTTCAGGCATTGTAGACTTTGCAAAACAGAAGTGATTATGAATAGGCTGCCACAGAATTATCACCCAAGCATTTGGAGGTTGGCAGATGCTGACTGGATGAATTTCAAATTTGTATCACTGTCTTTGATTGGCTAGATTTCGGGAGCATAGTTAGTAAGTAGATAGGCATTGGTTAAGTGGGAAGGATTTGAAACTGGTAAAAGTAGCAAAGGTTACCTTTTACTGGTTTTAAAGAACAGGTTTGTTCTTCATAATAAAATATAAGAACTTTAAATTTTTCTTTACAGCTACACATAGAAAATTAAAGATGGAAAATAATGTAGATGGTGGAAAGAGAATGGCTCCATTGGATCTTGGTGGGATTGCCAGAGCAGGTGTTTTGTTTCTTAGTTCATTTTTCCAGAAAGCACTCCTCTGTAGTTCAGACTGTAGCTTGCTGTGCCATTCAACAACAGTGGGGGCTCTTCTCTGTCTCTGTTTCAGAATCCATGGACTGCAGTTTTTGGTTAGGATTAGTATCCGGGATGTTAGATCACCAACTGAACAAAGGAAGGGGTCAGAAAGAGCTTGCTTCTCTCCTGCTGCTCTATGAGAGACAAGGAGACCATGCCCTGAAATAATCAAACAGATGGAGTTCTGACAAAGGGGGCAAGACAGGACAGGAAAAACTTAAAAAGAGGAACAGAAAGATAGAGGGAGAATGTAAAAATATTTTAAAGGAACAAGAAGTGGGGTGGGACTAAAAAACTTGTAAAAAGGTTGTCAAATCCTTAGTATGACAATTAGAAGACCACAGTTCAAGGCTAGCTTGGGCTAGCCTGAGTTTAAGGCTGTCTAGGAAAATGAGTTGATACCTTGTCTGAAAATGAAACATAAAAAAGTCTGAGGGTATGGCTCAGTGGTAGAATGCTTGCCTAGCACGAATGAGCCTCCAGCATTGCAAAATTAAATGACAAACAAATCAACACCCACAATTTTGTTCCAGGAGCAGCACCATCCACAAGTGAAAAGACTTGTTCCTGTGTCATGTGTTCCCCAACATATGTGGCAGAAGACCAGGAAGCAAGTATGGGAAGCAGCCAAGAAGGTAAGGAATAGATAAGGCTGCCCAGGGGTCATGGGTTGGGGATAACTCTGTGAGTCCCACAGCTCCAGCTACAGTACTAGCTTGTCCAGGCCAGCCCTGAATCCAGTCCTCTGTACCTGCCTGCTGGGAGCTGGAGAGAAGCAAGAACCCTTCACAGAGCCGTGTACCACAGGATGGAGTCAGTTGGTCACATTTGGGTGATACAGAAGAAACATACCCTTAAAACTGGCACTTGCTTGCCTGATGCCTTGATGTACTGGGTCACACCCATTCTTTCCTGCCACCCAAGTTGGCTGAGTAAACTCTTGCAGCTAGATAATAAAGTTGCTTTGTCATAGAAGCCATGACAAGGGTCCCTGTCGGGTATGAGCTTGCAGCCTGTGAAGAGGAAAGAGTTTAGGTCAGTTAGTCTCAATCCAGAGTATATTTCCAACCAAAGTCCTCAAGAGTGTCAAAGAACTAATCAGGGCTTGCCCAGAAAATTACCTACAAAATTCTTATTTTATTTGTGCAAAAACTTGTTAACATTTAAAATGTTTCTTTGGGAGGTGGGGGTCCAAAAATGGCCAGGACCCTGCTTGGATTCCTAGTTGTCAGTTCAGTAGCCTTGGATTCTTCTAGGAGGAAGAAAGAAATGACAATCCAAACACTGATGTAAGCAAGGCGCTTGCAGTGTGGATGGTCCTAAGGTTTGTAACTTCTCTTCATTATTTCTTTCCTAATCGCCATTTATTGTTTTCTAGAAGCTATGGACACTAGGAACAACATTACTGTAGGAGAATCCAGGAAGAGGAGAGGTAAGGAAACAAGGGGTGTTTCCATGCTTTTGATGTAACAGAGAAGTCATTTGTTGCTAAGTTTGCTGCTGTGATAAAGGAGTAGGCTATGGTGACCTCCCCTAAGGTCCTCCTCATTCTTGGAGCCTGTTATATTAATGACAAAGGCACTCTACACATATGATTAAGCTAAGAACCTTGAAGGGGGTGTTGCTTTTGACTGTTAGTGTACAAGTGACCTGATCTTATGGGTGTCAAGAAGTGGGAAGTCCCTCCACCAACATACCCAACAACTGTGCTGTGGACCAAGCCGGATAGATGCTGCACACACAGGTCTATGGAGGGACTAAAGAGCACTGTGCAACGGTGGCAAATGTGACCTTTTCCCTTCGAAATTTAACTGAGTCTATAAAGTAAAAATCCTGATTGTCCCTGACATCACTAAAGTGCAACTCACTGTGTTTGCATGAGGGACATATGTAAATGCCTGGCTTCCACACGAGTTCTCAGAAAACACATCCCTAGAAAATAAGCGTTGATAATAGTTGTGCTCCCCTGAACAGAACATTCTTTAGTCACTGAGAAGGTGGACGGCTGTCCCATGGTCTGGGGACAGCTGTGGATCCCGGTCCCAGCTCCGTGAACCATGCCCTTGGGTGAGGAAGGGCTCTGACTGTGGGTCACACATCCTATCTGCTCTCTGCCCTTGACCTTAACCGAGTGGCATCATCTCAGCATTCTCAGTGGGGGAGCACACTCCAGAGTGTGGTTCTGGCAATTCTGAAAGGCAGGTGTCATCAATGCTGCTCTTGTCCCCAGACCTACTGAGTGTGAGGCATCCCCTCAGGTGCCTGGAGCTCTGCTCTGGTTCCTGCCACAAGACTGCACATGTCATTCCGTGGGCTGCACCTGCACCTCTCGGTTCAGACCATCTCTTTTCTCACCTAAACCCAGGCCATCCAAGGGCCAGAAAGCAAGGCAGAAAATATTCATAGAAGGAGACAGAATTACACTGGAAGCCGTGGGTACCAGAACAGAAGTGAGAGTCTCAGAATAGGTCCATGTGTCACCAGCAGCCTCCTACCTACTTGAGTCCTGACCATCATCCAGGAAGGGTAGAGTTCCTTTCTGGGGCCTATTCCCTGCAGTGAGCAAGCTGCCCTAACCAGGAGTGTGTGCAGGGCATGAAGGTCAAAGAATCAGCACTGGCATATGTTTCCCATAAAAGAGATAGGGGTGTTATTATCAGACTGCAAATGGTCCCAACAGCCAAGGGTGAGATCCAAGGACTTCTAGGGTCACAATGGGGCAGCCAGATTCAGCTGATCCACAAGCCAAATGAAGGCACCACCTGTCCGTCAAGAGGGTTTGGAAGTTCTAGGCAGTGTGCCAGGGTGAACCACTTTGTGGTAGGGCTTAGCCCCTGAGAGACGGTCCGGCTTGAGCGTAAGGCTATTATGCAAGCAATGGCCTCTGCAGGAGAAATGCAGGTTCGGCCTCCATTTCCAGAGACCAGTGCTACTCAGTCATAGCATTTCCACAGCCCCCGCCAGTCATGGCTTCTCACAGGACTGAACAAATATTCAGCCCAGTTAGTTGTGTTCTGCCAGCTGTGGAGTGGCCACATCTGCTCTCAGTTCTGTGTAACCCACTTGGGCAGAGCAGCTTTGGCATCAGCAGACATGACCTGATGCTCAGCTGAGCTCGCCAGCTATACCCAGGTGAGTCTTGATGGAAGTTTTCAGAAACTGGTCTCTAGCTTGCCGTAGACTGGACAGCAGAAGTTCTGCCGGGTGGAATGTTCTTAGTACGTCACCTTCCTTGGAAGACCACGACAGATTTGGTGCTTCTGCCCTTGTCAGTCCTGGAGTTGCTGTTGACTCACCCAAGATGGGCAGCCAGCCACAATCAGTGAACAACCACAGAGACCCTGTTCCAAAGAAAGTGCAAGTCAAGGACTGACGTGTAGAGTTGCCCTCTGACCTTCACACGTGTGCACTGGCACGACCATGCTTGCACTCATTCAAACACATGAGCACGCAGTAAGCACATCCTCTATTTCAGCAAACATACAGATTAAGAAATAATAATCATCCCTCATCGTCATCATTAGACAGACTCTCCAATCCTCCAGACCTGTGGTCACACGCATTTGCATAATTCAAGAGAAAACAAAACTGCAACAGAAAGATCCTATGAGGCTTCCTAAAGTTTCCCCACCCCCACTCCAGCCCTTCAGGTGCTAGATGAAACACATGAGGGTCTCATGTTACAACTCTAAGAAAGTGGAGACTAACTAAAGAAAAAGGTTCCACATGGCAGTTGAGAGCATTCTTCGCCTCACAGTGTAGCATGGTCTCCAGCTTGAATTTGCATGGAAGATAAATGCTCCAACACTTGTCATTCAATCAACCTAAGGCACGAGCAGGAATGAGCTTTCTATTCTTCAAAGGTGTTCAAGGGAAAGTGATCTCCTACAGCATCCCATGACCAGAGCCCAGGTCACAGAAAGAACTGAAATTTAACTGTGCCATCAACCTTCACACAACTAAACTGTTAAGAATTTTGCCTCATTTCTAGGAACTGAAGTTTGACAACAGTATCTGAGCACTGCTGACATATAAGGCCCAGAGAATTATGTTTATAGCTCTGAACAAGTAATTTTAGCCTTTTTGTTTGTTTGTTTTAAAGGAAGAAAGAAAGGCCACAACCAATCAACACGAAAACGGAGGAGGCCACTAACTCTAGGCCCACAAAGTAAGCAAACAGAGCGACAGAGTTAGAGCTGTCGAGTTTATGAAAGTCTTGCCACTGCACACTTGGGGGCCTTGAGTTTCTGAGCCATGATAGCGTGTGCACATGTGTGTGCTGTACTGACACAGGTGCATATGGCTACACATACTCGCCCCCACATGTATAGCCTGAGGAGGGTGGAGACTCTCCTGTTCTCTCTCGTGCACGTGCTCTCTCTGTCTCTCTCTCTGTTTCTCTCTGTGTCTCTCTGTCTCTCTCTCTCTCCCATATTCCCCTGATAATTGCCAGTCAGCAACCACAGTGAGCCTATTATCTCCAGTCCCTTAACACTAGCATTATAGGCACATACCTAAGCATTTTTTACATGGACATTGGTGTCTAAACACAAGACCTCATGCTTGCAAATTTATGCTCTTAAGCAGTGAGCAATCTCCACCGTCCCACAAAAATTTTACAGCTACAGTAAGATGTGGGTTCAGATGCTGTACCAAAGGATCCTGACACTACAATGTCTTTGACAAATGGTTTGATTCTTGTACACGTGGTGGTCCAGAGCGAGTGGCCCAGAGCTGGAAGGAAAGTGCTGTCATCCTCAGTATGAAATATTTATTGACCTGGAAAAATGTTTCAAAGAAGGATGAATGAAGCAACCCGGTCACGTGTGCACATGTGCGAGTGTGAGTGTGTGTGTGTATGTGTGTGTGTGCGTGTGTGTGTGCGTGCGAGTGTGTGTGCGTGTGTGTGTGTGTGTGTGTATGTGTGTGTGTGTGCGTGTGTGTGTGCGTGCGAGTGTGTGTGCGTGTGTGTGTGTGCGAGTGTGTGTGTGTGTGTGTGTGTGTGTGTGTGTGTGTGATAAAAAATTTTCTTTTTTTGGACATATGTACCTATGAAAACATTCTTTTTTTGTCCATAAATTCATCTCTTTTAATAGAAGTATGTATCTGTCTGGAGAGAGAAAGGTGTACTTAGACATGGAAACATAGATGATAATCCATGTCTGCAAATGTGTTCATTGAAGGGCCAGGGAGAACCTCAGCAGCTAAAGCACTTGCTGTACAAGCATGAGGGCCTGAGTACAGATCCCCAACACCCACATGAAATTTTGGGCATAATGCACACATCTGTAATCCCCCCCCAATGGAGAGACATGTGCAGGCAGATTCCTCAAACTTGTTGACTAATGAGTCTAGCCGTATCATGAGCTCCAGCTTTAGTGTCAGGCTTGTGTCAACAGTTAAGGTGGGGATCTATCAGAGAAGACAGCAAACTTGGATCTCTGGCCTCCACACATTCAGGCACACCCACACATATACAAAGAAACTCACTCTTATACACACATATGCAAAAATGCATGCATTGGTTATTAGAATTGAGGCGATGTCTATATTTTTATTTGTTTTTCACAATATTGAACATGCTCAGCCTTTGTCACTAAAGGCATTCTTTAGAGAGATACACACAGCTAGGAAGATACACATGGTGGGGAGAGCGGGAGAGGGAGGGGGAAAGAGAGAAGGGTGGGGAGAGAGACCAACTTGAACAAACCTGTCATAAACATATCTACATGGTGATGTTGCCATGTTTCATACAATCTTATTCCTATAAGATAGATATATTTACAAACAGACCCTGATGCTTGATTTTAGGAATGATCTAAGGGATTTCTTCTTTCTAGAGAAAAACTAAATGCCATTTTCTAAATGACTATCACTTTGCATCAGGTCCATTAGTAGGTTTTGAAAACCCACTCAATATTAATTTCACAAAACTAAGAGTCTTATGGTCTTGACAATGATCCTCCTGTGCTGTTGAATGATGTGTATATTTTTGTTCAGAAAAGAGAAAAAAGAGTGGTTGCATTTTTTTAAATGCATATTTTCACACCGCATCATTTGGGTAGTTTTTGAAAACATTTTCATGCATGTCTCCTTGTGTGTAGACAAATAGATTTCTTTCCAAAGTGTCAACACAAATGAATCCTGCACATGCTTTAACTCTGACTTCTGCCTGGAAGAACATGGCTCCTTGTCATGAGCTCTCTTCCACAGGGCATGGAGAAAGTGGCCTGATGTGGCTTAATGCCTCCCTTGCTCCTTTCCATTTTCACCTGTACTCTGCTCAACTCTGCATTTGGCTGTGTCCCTCCCAGGTGGCAGCAGAGCTGGTGGCCAGGCAGCTACCAGGAGAAAGAAAAGGAAAAGGACTCCAGGATGCTCTGTCCAGACCAGGGGTAAGATGGCTTCTGTGGTTCTTTCTCTTCACCCTCTGAGCGCACACAGATTTGGTAAAGTTTGGGGGAATCTAAAGCCTTAAAAGAAACAAACAAATAACCTATTTAAACTAACTTGTCAATTGAGAGCAGTGTTGATGATTATTAATATTTAATATTGATTTATCTTATAGTTAAACAATGGTTATTCGTAAACCAGCTGTATACCCAAATTACCATACAGAGACTAGGATTTATTTAATTAACCTAGAGCACAATGATGGGCAATAATTACTCCATCCATTCTAAACCTCCAAGCCCACATAGCTGCCTCCCATTCAGATTTCCCAAATTATACTTGCTTTTTAGTCATATCTTAGGTCCAGTTCATTTCCCTCATATTTTCAGGTTTCTGCTCATGGATCTTTCTTCCTACCTCCTCTTTATCCTCCCCTCCAGACGAGGATGTCCCACCCTATTCTCTCCATTGCTCAGCATTGCCCGGTTGTTTTCATTGGCAACACAGAGAACAAATGATGGCATGTTTACACAATCTTGAGACAGGTGAAGCTTAGAATAAGCATCACAATGCAATGTCCAGATTGAAGCTAGATACTGGGGTAGAGAAATCAGCATTTGAATGAACAAGAGTAAATTGTATACATTCCACAAGAACATTATATCAACAGAGCAGCAAAATCAAAGAGCAAAGTTGTTTGGAGCAAGGGTGTGTGAACTGAATTTTTTTTATCAATCTTATCTGTCCTAATTTCTTCCTTCCCTCAGAGTTGAACCTGACTTTTATGGAAATGCTTTTCTCTCATGTTGGATATTAAAATGGCTACATTTGGTGACTTGTAAGCAAACACCAGATCTCCTCTCTCACACTCCTTTTCTTCCTTCCTTTTGTTGAGTTCTTTCTCATCTTGGGCAGGCCCTGTAGCTTTCCAGTTCCTTTTCAGCAGTGACAGCATTTCACAGCAGAAGCTGAGAGCCCTTTCTGACCGATATCCAATTTTTGAGATAGGAAATGTCTGAAAGAACAAACAGCAAAGGAATAAACCTTGATGCTTTCTCTAATTTAAAGCACCTCCTCTCCTTCAGCCTGGACAAGACCTAGATCAGGATATGAAAAGCAGGGCTAGCACCATCTCATTTCAAGGTTCCTCGAGACTCAGCCTCTATTCCCTAGCAGCTGATGTGGGCCGAGCCAAGTTGGGTTGAAGAGAAGTGAGGTGACTGGTGCTTGTGCAGGTTTCTTGTCTGATGGGCTTAGCTGTGGAAGATGCTGGAGGTAGAGCATGCTCTCTCTCTCTCCCATGAAATGCTTCCATCACTTCCACAGTAGGAAAAGGGGAGGGGCCAGACACCAGGGTGACCTCATTAAAAGAAATACAGCTTTTTTACTTGGGCCTGGTGTAAGGGGCCATGCTGCTATAATCCAATCCCACTAATGTGTTCTGTGGTCACAAAGGGGCTTTGCCACTTTGCCTTAGGATGTGCAGGACCCTGGGGGACCAACTCAACCCACTCAAATGGAAAAAAATAAGACTTTACAGTATTTTTACCCCACTGGAACTATATGTCATTATATGAGCAGACTAACAGGTCACTTTATTTGGCATGTACTAAATTGAGGCCAACTACTGAACCTTCTATAAAAGTTTTGAATACAAAGCAAGGAATTGACAAATCCGTCTTACTTGTAAAGTTTAAGACTGACCATAATAACTATTTTAAAATAAGTTTAAATCATATTCTTACCACAATTATATTTATGGGTTTTTTGATGGTGTTTAAGATATTACACTGGCAAAATGCCCCTGGATATGACAAGAACTCAGTTTCCCTGCTCATTTCTTCTGCTTGGAGATAAAATGTAGTAGGAAATGAAATGTATCTAGATCTAAAATCCAAATCTCTCTATACCAACTTCTTCTCCATGGGCTAGAATAGACATCAGTGTTTCCTTTTTCACTTCAAAATGTGAGGCCTAACCATGTTCAATAAAAGATAATCCACCAAACCTTCTAGTCCCACAAAGAAAAAAAATCCACACAGAATTAGAGAGAAAAAGATCTCTGTATTCTGCTGAGCCTGTTGCCAGAGTTTTGGCCCAAAGTCAGGCTGGAGTAGAGGAGGGACAGTTGCAGGAATGAGTCAGGTGAAAATCTTCCCAATGGGCAATGAGTCTGAGGCCTCAGAAGAAGTAGGAGGCATGGGGTATTCCCAAGCATGACTCAAAGACTGGGTGGCATCTTGAGGGTGGAGGGGAAGAGTCCGTAGGAAAGCCACTCCTGAGTGGAAGACCTTCTGTTGACTGGTAATCCCACCATCCAGAGAGAGTAAGCAAGAGTGTAAGTTTTCATCACAGCTTTATGTAGCTGAATTAACCATGGAGACACTTCTTGTTTACTCAAAACAAAACAAAACCAAGAAATCATACATGGGATCTGTTTGAGAGGGCTTCTAGAAGAAAACTAGGCACCTGGATTATTCCACAGTCCCTTTTTATAGTCAGAGGAAAGCACTTTGATACAATAAAGTTCATCAAGAAGTCAAAGTTCTTTACCTCCACCACCTGTCTGTGTTATCCTCACACAAACAAAAGGAAGTGACTTTGGCAAAAACATCCTGCCTACTGTCTCAAACAAAAGGAAATGAACTTGTCAAAAACATCCTGTCTATCTCTATCTCCAGGTGAAGGCCAGGCTGGAAACATGTTTGTTTGTTTTTCTGAGAGCTCAACAACAAAGCATCCTGACAAATAAGTGTCTCTCCACAGGTCTCCCTTTTTTATATTTTAAAAATTGACCATAACTTAAGAGCTATGTAGAAGAAGATTGTGCCTGTCTTAGGTTTTCTCTCTTGAAAGATATATTCTTTTGTTTTGTTTTGTTTTTTCATAGTTTGGAATTGTAGGTCAACACAGTTTTGAGCTGCCATGTGGCTGCTGGAAATTGAACCCCAATCCTTTGGGAGGACAGTGCTCTTAACCACTGAGCCATCTCTCTAGCCCCAAAGTATATTTTTTTTTGTCATTGGTACATGAATTCCATCCTTCATGCTCTTTCTTAGGTTCAGTCTTCTTCAGGGAGATCTGACCCATATTTGACTACCAACCTCCACTAGGGTAGACTCTGGAGTTTAATCTTATGCAGATCAGCTTTCACATTCTAAAAGGCATTGATGAAGGTTTTAATTATCACTGGTAGGAGACATGTTCCTAATATGAGTAATAAGCCAAGTGCTATAACATTCCATAAAAGTGACTTAAAAGATGACCCCTTATCAGAATACCAAGCATGAGAAACATTCACCAGAATCATAATAAATGACTGTCAAACAACCAGAACTTATTGTCCATTTGAAAGCTTAGAAATACAGTCTTAGTGTACATTCCTGGCAAGAAAAATTAATGTTTGAATCTTATATAAAAATGTTATCATTTGCTAAACAACAAAGCATAAGGAGAACATACATAGGCAGTTACAGGGCTTCCTAAGGGTTTCTGAAGCAAGCTTCCAAATATGTGTTTGTTGAAAACTAGAATCAGACCGAAGTCCCATAGTCAGTCCTCATTTTCCCATTCTTCCAGATTTTGTTGAGAATTATCCTGATTACCAGATCAATCAAGTCCAGTCACATTATATCTAAGAAGTTTCTCTGCACAATATCTTCTCTTAGGAGCAGAATGAAACAAGGGTGTGTAAGGACCACAAGTCCACAGCAGTAGGAACATCCTCCTTCCAGGGAACATCTCCTGCAAATCGAACCAATCTTTCTGGGATCCACCTGGCTCCTTCAGCATCCTGCAGAAAAACACAAACATTCCTTCTCCCCAAATTAATGCAGGGTTGGAACCCTGCCATCTTCTAGTAATCGGAGCTTTCCATTTCACTTGGGCATAATAATCTTTGGTATTAGGATGCTACAATCAATCAGCCACAGAACAGCCCTGTATATCCACATTAAAAAAAATTTAAGATAAAACATGATTAAGATTTGGGGATATGATTCCCTCTTTTTTATTTTTTGCAATTGGTTCTTAAGAGATCTATGGGCATGCTCCACAATTCCTTGACCTTGAGGATTATATGGAATACCTTTTTATGATTTATGATTTATGATTTGTGCACAAAAATGCTGAAAAGCTTGACTAATATATTCAGTACCATTATCAGTATTTATAATGGGAGGAATACCAGTTGTAACCAATGACTCATAGTGAGTTTGGTGGCTTCTCCTGCTAAGGGAGTTGCCATTATAAATCCTGAAAAAGTATCAATTGTTACATGAACATATTTTAGCTTTTCAAATTTTGGGATGTGAGTAACAACTATTTGTTGTTTAGAATGGTTCCAACCCTAGGTTTTAAGTAAGTTAACTATATGTTACAGATTTTAAAAATACCCAATGACCAATAATCTATAACCAAGACAGAGTGAACTTAGTAAATTTATACATTCAAGACAGAACAAATGACCTTCTCCTGTCAAACATTCTCTCGTTAATTGCTTCCACTCCCCTGGACAGAGAACCTCAGTAGACAAGGACTCTAACACTAACTTTACTCTAAGCTTGAGTAAAAGGTGCTGTAGGACCATTTGGAGAGCATGCAGTTTTTAAAGCTTTTAATTGCTTAAATGATATAGGAGAATGGACTCTCACCATATTACCCTGTCCATCAGGGTGCTCTATAACTGGAAAGCCATAAAACTCAGTTATATCTTCTTCTTTCTGCCTACCTTGTTCTTCCTCTAACTCTGCAATCTCATCAGGATCTAAGTTATTCTCAAAGTCTTCTTCTAAAAAAGAATTATCATTAGGAGGGACATATAACTCTTCTGGAAGAACTGATGGTTTAAACTCATTATGTCCAAAAGTCTCCCATATTTCTTTCCTCTTTCTCTTTTACCCTGAAGGTTGTACTTTCAGTCTGGTGCCATATAGACAGACTATTTCTAAGTAAATTCCATTCAAAAAAACACGAGGCTACTGCCTTGTCCATTTTTACTCTCGAATTTTATTCACTGTGCCCTTTTCACTTCATGATCCAAGCTGGCCAACACTCACGGTGTCCTTCACTACTTCCCCATATCTCAGGTCCCTGTTCAGGCACCAAACTGCTGGAGAGCACTGGCAGATTCAAACAGTTCTTGAGTGGGGAGTGAGGATTGAAAGAAAAAAAAATCAAGACACTACACATGGTATTTGTTAGAGAAGGCTTCTAATAGAAAACTAGGCACTCAGTTTATTCCACTGTCCATTTTTATAGTCAGAGCAAAGCACTTTGATACAATGAAGTTCATGGAGAAGCTTCTCCATGAAGTCTGTGCTATCCTCACAGAAACAAAAGGAAGTGAACTTGGCAAAAACATCCTGTCTGTCCCTGTCTCCAGGTGAAGGCTAGGATGAAAACATGTTTTTTTGCTGAGAGCTCAATAAGAAAGTATCCTGATAAACAAGCGGCTCTCCACAAGAGCTGTAGACAACTACAGTACTGGCTCCACTGACCTGAAACTCTGAAGAGTGGAAACAGTCTCTGGCACACAGGGTGTCACCCAGCAGTGACTGTACACTCAGGTGTACAGAGTGGTGAACAGACCTAGGTTTAATCTTTTTCTTCCTTTGACCTCATGGACTTGGACCTGTTCCTTGTCTCTTACCTCAATTTCTTTATTTCTAATATAAGAGGGCAATATGTCAACCATTCTCAGTCCACTGCAGTCTCGATCCCACCCACCTCCACCCACAGCACATCCAGGTGTCTGCCTTGATTACAGGCAGGGAAAACTTAGCTTCTCACCTTCCAGGAATTTGCTTGAGGAATTTTCATCTCTACATCTGTGGAATTGAATCTCTTCCCTTCCTGTATAGTTCTTAGATTAGTCTAGAAGATTCTGGGTTTCTGTATCAGCTGCAGATACAAAAAAACACTGTTGTGAGTGAGAAATGAAGCAGGGCAGACAAAAAGAGGATGTAGAAGTGATCTCACCCAATTCTGCTAGGTTGCTGCTCATCTCCGCTCCCTGCTCACCCAGTCAGTGCTCAAATGGAGAGAAAAGAGGAGCATCTCTGGCCACCATCTTTAGTCAAACAGCACAGTTAAACAACTCCAGTCATAACCTGACAACAGCCATGTTTCATGGTCATGTAGCAATCAGTGTACTAACTAGCAAAGGAGTTAGGACAATTTTATAAAGCCAAATTTCTTTGCTAATTCTTCTGTTTTTTATGAATCAGGGGTATCGTGTTTTGTTATTATGTATCCAACATGCCACTTGGAAGAATGACTTAGAAACTAAAGATAGGAGCAAAATGTCCCAAGTTTTAAAGGAAAAATTCTAAAGGGAGGAGGGGAAATGAAAACTACAAAGTGAAGAGAGAAGAATAAATCCTCTTTTTCAGTTCTAAGAAGGCGCAGAAATGAAACTGCAGATTTCAGTGCTGAGTTGCTTCCTGTGACATGTGGTAACTTGAAAGGAACATTATACAAGGATAAATTCAAGCAAGGTAGGTCTCATGACTTGTAGTAATTAAATGAATGAATGCTGGGTTATGAAATGTTTATTATTAGTTCTAAGTTATCACGGCGGCATTATTTAACCTGCTATCACAAAATATTAAGACACAGACACCTGTTAGTTTTATAATTGCCCTATTTACCTTGGGCCAGGCAGATATTTCACTTACACTATCTCAATAACCTCACCATCCATCTTTCAGCCCCCATCCAGTGCCATTGACCTTACCATCCTCATCTGGTCTGCCCTCCATGCATAATCCCATGGTACTTGCATATATTCATCTGGGCCTTTTCATGCCATTATTGCAATCCTTCCTCTCGACCCACGTGCTGTTTTTCTCCACACTAACCCTTTATGGCCAAATAACATGATATTTCATTGTATATACTACATATTACATTTCTTTATTCATTCATCAGTTTGGATTATTTCTAACTGTGGCCTTAATGAGTTAGTACTGTTGAGAATTTGAGGAAAACATTTGTGAGAATATATACACTCAGTTTGGGGGCAGAAATACCCAGAAGTGGAATTGCTGGGTCATATGGTGATTATATGTTAAATATTAATATATTAATTATATATGTAATAATTATATATAACATATAATATATAATTATATATTAAACCCATAAGGAAACACCAAAATGTTTTTGGTGGTGGCTACACTGTGTTATATTTCCAGCAGCAATGCCGCAGGCCTCCAACTTCCCCGAATCAAAAGCCGTTATTTCTTTTCTTTTTCTTTTTTTCTTTTTGGTCATCCTGGTGGGTGTGAAACTGTGTAGTTGGAATTTTGTTTGTATTTTCATAATAATGAAGAAGTCGAACATATAATTGGCTTTTTAACATAAAGTATATTTCCACTGAATGATATTTCACTTATGTTTGATAATGTCTACTGTGACTACAGGGATGGGCAAACTTCTGTTCGATATTTTCATGAAATTTATCCAATTTATGATGCCATACAATCCTTAGTTGCAGGAACAAGCTGCAGTCTCGGCTCCAAGCTGAGGATTCCACCTTGATCATGCCTGGGGCACCTGAGCCTCTGGTTGTTCTCCATCCTGAGACCCCCAGCATCAGGTTGAATCCACTCAGGCTGTGGAGTCACTCACTTGCCTGACTTTTCCATTTCCAGGTGACCCTGAAGTCGTTTTACCAGGTGTTTGACGGTGATGATTATTTTTTCATGCATGACAGTCAAAAAAATACACATGGCTTCATGAAAGCCCTATCAGGGAATCTGAGGTCTGAGCTGGGGATTCCTGAAGCCTGAGAGGACACCTGACTCCTCTGCTATTGGCATCCAGCACGGTTTGGGTGGCTCTAGCTCTAGCATGGTGGGAGGATACACATCTGAGCTCTACGGGCACAGCAGAGTCAGAGTTAACCAACTGTGGTCTTACAGGGACCTCTGTGATGTCCATACAATGTGAGGATGGAAACTGGTTCACGCCCCAAGAATTTGAAATTATGGGAGGCCATGGAAGAGCAAAGAACTGGAAATTGAGTCTGCGCTGTTATAACTGGCCCCTGAAATTTCTGATCAAGGTATTGTAATGGAAGGGAGAGGGGTCAGCGCTTCTTATTGCATCAGTTACAGATCAAATAGGTATTGAGTTAGAGGAAAGCCCTAATATCAGTTAGGTTTCCCTGTCAGTCAGGAGAAGGCACCCTACACTCATAGCCTCATTGCTGGCAGGTACACCCTTGGCGGTGTTGCAGACCACAGATACAGAACCTCTGAGGAGGGAATGGCCATTCTGAATAAGGTTATTGCAAATAGATTTCTGCATTGAAGCCAAAGAAAGAGCTGACAAACGAATGGAAGACAGGCTAGAGAAAGAAGGGCATGCAGAGTTCTGACTAGGGCTCCTGTGTGGATATAGGAAGATGTGTTGTGTGTTTGGCATAAACTATCTTTTGAGGTTGTTGGTTCAGGACTTTAATACTACCCTAAACAGCCCAAACCCAAAATTTACACAAGAAAGCAGTGATGTCCTTGAAGTTAGAGATGACAGTAAAGAGTAGGCATAGTGGTGGAAACTTTAATCTCAGCACTTAGGATGCAGAGATGAGAGGATTTCTGAATAGCAAGTTCCAAGATAACCAGCACTTCATAGAGACTCTGCTTCAAAATAATGAGAAAGAAAGAAAGAAACAAAGAAAGAGAGAAAGTGAAAGAGAGAGAGAGAGAGAGAGAGAGAGAGAGAGAGAGAGAGAAAGAAAGAAAGAGAGACATTTGAAATATATGATCATTCCACCATCATTATCTGGTGTACAGGGAAGGGCCCAAGACTTCAAATGAGCTAAAGAAAACTAAACTTCAGTTTTAAGCTGATCTCAGCATTCTTGTTCTACTTTGCTTCCTGTGCTGCTATGATAAATACCATAACCAAAAACAACTTGTTGAAGGAAATGGATCATTTTACTTATAGAGCATAAGTCCATTGTGGCGGGAAGCCCAGGCAGGAATTTAAGGCAGAAATATGGAGTCAGGAACGGATGTGAACACTACAGAAGAACACTGCTTACTGGCTTGATCCTTGGCTCCTGTTTAGCTGCCTTTCTTACTCAGGCTAAGTACACCTTTCTAGGGATGAAATCACCCAGCGAGGGATTAAACTTCCTATATCAATCCACGGTCCAGAAAATTTCCTTGCTGGGCAAGACGCATGCCTGTAATCCCAGCACTTAGGGAGGTAGAGGCAGGCAGAGCTCTGTGAGTGCAAGCACAGTCTGGTCTACCAAGTGTCTCCAGGACAGCCAAGGCTATACAGAGAACCCCTGTCTGAAAAAAGAAAGAAAGATTTTAAAAGAAAAAGAAAGAAAGAAAAGAAAAGGAAGAAAAGAAAAAAAGAAAATGCCCTCACAGAATTGCCTATAGGCTATCTAAGATAAACAATTCTTCAACTGATGTTTGCTCTTCTTAAAGCATGTCAAGCTGACAACATACTAACAAGGACTATGCTATTAGAAACAGTTTCTCTCAGATATGATTCCATCATCTCTCTATCCAGCAAGCCTGTATTTGTCCCGGCTAGTCCTGGACCATCAGCTTCCAGAGATCCTTCATTAATTGTGTGAGATTGGTTCTCCGGGGAGGGGGGGCAGTCATAGCACACACCTTTAAGCCAAGAAATTCTTAGGCAGAAGCAGGTGAGTCTCTGAGTTCAAGGCCTCCATAGTGCAAGCAATATGGCCAAGGGTTAAACAGAGAAATCCTGTCTCGAAAAGGAGATTGGGGAGAGGGAGGAGAGACAGAGAAAGAGGGAGATTGTTTTTTTTCTATGAGCTTTCTCTCCTCAACCTTCCTCCCTTGCCAGTTTTTCTATCCTTTTGTGTCCACACTCATCAGAGAATGTGACACCCTGTATTCATGCAACAAGTGGGTGCTGGCTGGCTAGTCCTGGTACAGAAAGTCAAGCTGAAGTGGGTCGGGTAGGACCAGAGAGGATGAATGGTTGAATCAGTGATTCAGGGGGAAATTCTCAGGGCCTCAGGAAGATGCACCAGAGAAAGGGATGTCAGGAGGTCATTCTATGTGCCACGGGTACAGTCTTTCAGTTGTAGTGAGGAGAGGGAGGAGTCAAACAACTCAGATCTGAAGAGGCCATAGAACATCCAGGCAGAAAGTTTTGGAAGAAGGTTGGAAATGCCAGTCTCACACCACTGAAATACAGATACCAACATCCTCAGGTCCTTTTATCTTGCAGAGAAACTTTCTACCCAGTCCTCCACGAAAATATGCCAGGAAAAAAAAGGTGAGTTCTCACCATGTGGTTTTATACACACAGCATGTTACTTCATGGTGTCTCAGTTAGGTTGTTATATACCTAAGTCACTTCTCATTGTCTCCTCTACCTTTCTCTTTTCTTGTTTTGAGCCGGAGTCTCCACCCACACTGCAGTGTGGATGGTATAGCTAGATCTTCCTTGAACATTGACTCCTTTGAGCTGGAGATGTGAGAGAGCTACCAACATAGACTTCAGTGAGCCAGGAGACCCTAGACACGAGCTTCATGGCTCGCTGAGAATTTGAACTTCAGGCTTGCATATTGTTTGTCATTTCCATTATCATCCAGCTTGTTTGAACTCTAAACTGCTGGGATGTTTCATCCACGCAGCTTCCTAGAAAAAAGCTACCATTTCACTTGTCCAATGAATGTTTTTAAAGGCCAGTGCCTCTACGTTTCCCCATGTGCCAAGAGTGTCTCAGTCTGGGTCAATCAAATGAGCTAGAAGTGCCCAGCCCATGTAATTCATCCTTGTTTCTAAGTGCAGCGCTCCTGTGTAACAAGAGAGGTGTTTGTCTCTTATTTTGTTTTGTCTCTCTTTGTAAGAACAGAATTTCCAGAGAAACAGAATCCAAGATCTACTTTCACTTTCATAAGTTCCTCAGGGCCTCTTCATCTACTCAGGGGTTGGGATTCTGGAAACTTCCATGTCATTGAAAGCATCACATGAGGACCTAATAGATGTCTACAGATCTTTTCATCCAAACTCAAAAGAGTATACCTTCTTTTCAGCACCGCATGGAACCTTCTCCAAAATAGACCATATAGTTGGTCATAAAGAAAGCCTCAACAGATACAAAAAGATTGAAATAATCCCTTGTATTCTATCTGACCACCATGGACTTAAGCTGGACCTCAACAACAACAGAAATAACAAACAGCCTACACACACATGGAAACTGAACAACCTGTTACTCAACGACAGCTGGGTTAAGGAAGAAATAAAGAAAGAAATTAAAGACTTCCTAGAATTCAATGAAAATGAAGGCACAACATACCCAAATTTATGGGACACATTGAAAGCAGTGCTCAGGGGAAATTTTATAGCACTAAGTGCCTGCAAGAAGAAATTTGTAACATCACATACAAACAACTTAATGGCCCAACTGAAAACCCTAGAAAAAAAAAGAAGCAGATACACCCAAGAGGAGCAGAAGGCTGGAAATAATCAAACTCAGGGCTGAAATCAATCAATTAGAAACAAATAAAACTATTCAAAGAATCAATGAAACAAAAAGCTGGTTCTTTGAGAAAATCAACAAGATAGACAAACCCTTAGCCAAACTAACTAAAAAGCAGAGAGAATCTATCCAAATCAACAAAATCAGAGATGAAAAGGGTGACATAACTACAGACACAGAGGCAATTCAAACAATCATTAGGTCATACTACAAAAGCCTATATGCCACTAAATTTGAAAATCTAAATGAAATGGACAATTTTCTTGATAGATTCCATCTTCCAACATTAAGTCAAGATCAGATAGAAAGACTGAACAGCCCTATATCCCCCAAGGAAATTGAAGCAGTCATTCACAATCTCCCCTCCAAAAAAAGCCCTGGGCCAGATGGTTTCAGCGCGGAATTCTACCAGACCTTCAAAGAAGTGCTCACACCAATTCTCCTCAAACTATTCCACAAAATAGAAACAGAAGGTACATTACCAAACTCATTCTATGAAGCAACAGTCACCCTGATACCTAAACCACACAAAGACCCAACAAAAAAAGAGAACTTCAGACCTATCTCTCTTACGAACATTGACGCAAAAATACTCAATAAAATACTTGCAAACTGAATCCAAGAACACATCAAAGATATCATCCACAGTGACCAAGTAGGCTTCATCCCAGGCATGCAAGGGTGGTTCAACATATGGAAATCCATCAATGTAATCCACCACATAAACAAACTGAAGGAGAAAAACCACATGATCATCTCCTTAGATGCTGAAAAAGCATTTGACAAAGTCCAACACCCATTCATGTATAAAGTCTTGGAGAGATCAGGAATACAAGGCACATATCTAAACATAGTAAAGGCAATATACAGCAAGCCTATAGCCAACATCAAACTCAATGGAGAGAAACTTAAATCAATCCCACTGAAATCAGGGACAAGACAAGGCTGCCCACTCTCTCCCTACCTCTTCAACATAGTACTTGAAGTCCTAGCCAGAGCAATAAGACAACTAAAGGAGATCAAGGGGATACAAATCGGAAAGGAAGAGGTCAAAGTGTCACTATTCGCAGATGATATGATAGTATATATGAGTGACCCCAAGAATTCAACCAGAGAACTCCTCCAGTTGATAAACACCTTCAGCAAAGTGGCAGGATACAAAATCAACTCAAAAAAATCAGAAGCCCTCCTGTATACCAAAGACAAAATGGCCGAGAAAGAAATTAGGGAAACAACACCCTTCACAATAGCCACTAACCACATAAAGTACCTTGGGTTGACACTAACCAAGCAAGTGAAAGACCTGTTTGAGAAAAACTTCAAGTCTCTGAAGAAAGAAATTGAAGAAGATCTCAGAAGATGGAAAGATCTCCCGTGCTCATGGATTGGTAGGATTAACATTGTGAAAATGGCCATCCTGCCAAAAGCAATCAACAGATTCAATGCAATTCCCATCAAAATACCAACTCAATTCTTTACAGACCTTGAAAAAAAGGTTCTCAGCTTCATATGGAGAAACAAAAAACCCGGAATCTCCAAAACAATCCTGTACAACAACAGATCATCTGGAGGTATCTCCATCCCCGATCTCAAGTTGTACTACAGAGCAATAGTAATAAAAACTGCATGGTATTGGCATAAAAACAGAAAGGAGGATCAATGGAACTGCATAGAAGACCCAGAAATAAACCCACACACCTATGAATACTCGATTTTTGACAAAGAAGCCAAAACCATTCAATGGAAAAAAGACAGCATCTTCAACAAATGGTGCTGGTCCAACTGGATGTCCACATGCAGAAAAATGAAAATAGATCTATATTTATCACCGTGCACAAAACTAAAGTCCAAGTGGATCAAAGACCTCAACATAAAACCAGATACTCTAAATCTGTTCGAAGAAAAAGTTGGGAACAGCCTAGAACTCATTGGCACAGGAGACAACTTCCTGAACAGAACACCAACAGCACAGGCTCTAAGAGCAACAATCAATAAATGGGACCTCATGAAACTGAAAAGCTTCTGTAAAGCAAAAGACACTGTCATCAAAACAAAACGCCTGCCTACAGATTGGGAAAGAATCTTCACTAACCCTTTATCTGACAGAGGACTAATATCGAGTATATACAAAGAACTAAAGAAGCTGAAAAGCAGCAAACCAAGTAATCCAATTAAAAAATGGGGAACAGAGCTAAACAGAGAATTCTCGACAGAGGATATTGAATGGCAGAGAAACACTTAAAGAAATGCTCATCCTCATTAGCCATCAGGGAAATGCAAATCAAAACGACCCTGAGATATCACCTTACACCCATCAGAATGGCCAAGATGAAAAACTCAAGGGACAACACATGCTGGAGAGGTTGTGGAGAAAGGGGAACCCTCCACAACCTCTGGTGGGAATGTAAACTGGCATAACCACTCTGGAAATCTATCTGGCGCTTTCTAAGACAATTAGGAATAGTGCTTCCTCAAGACCCAGCTATACCACTGCTAGGTATATACCCAAAATTTGCTCAAGTACACAAAAGGGATATTTGCTCAACCATGTTTATAGCAGCTTTATTTGTAATAGCCAGAACCTGGAAACAACCCAGATGTCCATCAACGGAGGAATGGGTACAGAAATTGTGGTATTTTTACACAATGGAATACTACTCAGCAATCAAAAAGGAGGAAATCATGAAATTTGCAGGCAAATGGTGGGATCTAGAAAAGATCATCCTGAGTGAAATATCCCAGAAGGAGAAACACAAACACGGTATATACTCACTTATATAGACCTATAAGATATGATAAACATAATGAAATCTATACACCTAAAAAAGATAATCAAGAGAGCAGACATGGGGTAAGATTATCAATTCTCGTTTTGAAAGACAGATGGGATGCGCATTGAACATTGACAGGAGTCTACTGAGCGCATTTGAAAAACTCTAACTAGCAGTGTTTTCAAAGCAAAGACTCATGACCAAACCTTTGGCAGAGTACAGGGAATCATAAGAAAGAAGGGGAGTTAGTCTGATGAAGGAGGATAGGAGCTCCACAAGGACCAAATATATCTGGGCACAGGGTCTTTTCTGAGACTGACATGCAACCAAGGACCATGTATGAATGTAACCTAGAACCTCTGCTCAGATGTAGCCTGTGGTAGCTCAGTAACCAATTGGTTTCCCATAGTGAGGGGAACAAGGACTATTTCTAACAGGAACTCAATGACTGGATCTTTGGTCACCCCACCCCCCAAGGGAGGAGCAGTCCTGTTAGGCCACAAAGGAGAGCTTTGCAGCCAGTCCTGAAGATACCTGATAAAACAGGATCAGATGAATGGGGAGGAGGTCCCCCCTATCAGTGGACTTGGCAAGGGGCACGGTGGAGATGAGGGAGGGAGGGAGGGACTGGGAGGGAATGAGGGATCGGGACACGGCTGGAATACAGAGTTAATAAAACGTAACTGATAAGAAAAAAATAAAATTAAAAAAAAAAAGAAAGCATCACATGACAGCTTCCTAGCTCATGACAGGATTGTTTAAACTCCCTGTTTTGATTGTTTTGTGTCAGGAAGTCCTGGATACTTTCTATAACCGTATTTCTGTATGATGACATCTGCATTGAGATACCCAGAGTCTCTTTCCCAAGCAAAGCCACATTTACTCCTCTGTGTAATGCACAATTACAAAGTATGCGAAGAATGTCCAGGGACTGGTAGAGAAGATAGTAAAAGTAGCTCTGACTGACCTCCGGTATTTTGTGAAAGTCACTGTCCACATTAAAGAATAACCAGTGGGGTGAAGTAGGGGATTCTAGAGTCGTGGACAGTGGCAGGACTGTCTCTCAGGTGAGTGTATCCTAGATCATGCTTTTCTCCAGCTCTCGGCCCTGGACTGGAGTTAAAGGCTGTGTCTGCCTGCCTCACAGAAGGCAAGGATAAAAAGTCATTAAACTGATGTGCAAAAGCAGTGTGAATTCCATGCTTGCCTTTGAACATTGCAGCCAGCATGGCATCCCTTTGAGCTTTGAATAGAGAAGAGGGAGGCCATGGAGAGGAAAAGCTGGAGCCCTGGGCCCCTTGGGTTCACTTGATTTTTAGGGAGAGCTACAAAAGGTATGGATTTCCTCTCTAGGATCATGTGGACTCTAGAACTCTGAGCCTTATGGGTTCTTGAATACAATTGGTCCATCTTCAGCCTCATTCTCATGGCAGCCTCTCTGATAGGGGAGGTCCTCCTCCCCTTCCTTCTGATCCTAGTCTACAGGTCTCATCAGGAATGGCTGCACTGTCTTCCTCTGTAGCTTGGAAAGGGTGCGCCTTCCTCAGTGGGAGATAATCAAAGAGCAGGCCAATCAGATTATGTCAGAGACAGTCCCTGTTCCCATCACTATGGAAACCACTTGGACAGTGAACTGCCATGGGCTACATCTGTGCAGGGGTTCTAGGTTATCTCCATGAATGGTTCTTGGTTCAGAAATCAATCTGGCACTTTCTGAGACATTTAGGAATAGTGCTTCCTCAAGATCCAGCTATACCTCTCCTAAGATTTTATCCAAAAGATACTCAAGAATACAACAAGGACATTTGCTCAACTATGTTTGTAGCAGCTTTATTTGTAATAGCCAGAATCTAAAAAAACAAACCAGATGTCTCTCAGGTGAGGAATGGATACAGAAATTATGGGATATCTACACAATGGAATATTACTCAGCAATAAAAAACAAGGAAATAATAAAATTTTCAGGCAAATGGTGGGAACTGGAAAAGATCATCCTGTGTGAGGCATCCAAGAGGCACTAAGACACACAGTGTATATACTCACTTTTAAGTAGATATTAGATATATAATATATGATAAACATACTAAATTTTGTATGCATAAATAAACTAATCAAGAAGGAGGACTCTGGCTAAGATGTTCAATCCCCATTCAGGAAGGCAAAGAGGATAGACATCAGAAGAGGGAGAAAACAAGGAACAGGACAGGAGCCTATCACAGAGGGCCTCTGAAAGGCTCTACCCTGCAAGGTATCAGAGCAGATGCTGAGACTTATAGCCAAACTTTGGGTGGAGGTCAGGAAATCTTATGAAGGAAGGGGGAGATAGTAAGACCTGGAGAGGAGAGGAGCTCTACAAGGAGAGCAACAGAACCAAAAAATCTGGGCACAGGGGTCTTTTCTGAGACTGATAAACAAAAATTTGACTACATGAATGAATGAAGGAAGGAATGACAAAAATTAAATATTACTCTTAATATTTTGACACAAATTTTCTCCTTCAGCAGGGAACACAGAATTTGTATCATTCCCAAGCTGACCCGTGTGTAAGTACAAACTCCTGGCTACAATCCCTGAAAAACCCAGCCATCTCGTCTCCTTGGTGTATTGCCTGTGTCTTGGTTGCCTCTCCCTTGAAGGCACTTGCTGTCATTTTGCACATGCTTCCCTGAAGAGCCATCCTTACTAAATCTGACCCACAAGCAAAGCAGGAGGAGCCAGTCTGGGCGTTTGGGTCAGAAGTTTCCTAACACGGGTTTTACCATGGGGGTCTCATATCCTCATTTACTCTCAAGGTAAAGGTGGGAGACATCTCTAGCTCTCTGGGGTCCCTGAAGGAATGAAGGATGAGAAGAAAACACGGGAGCCGCCATTTGTAACAGGCAGTGTGTGGAAAGGAAACATCCCAGCCTGCATCCCATGTGCAGCTAGAGCCCAGAAGGAGCAGATGAGGCCTCGTGTGCAAGTGTTAGGTCTGGACTGCTTCTTGTCCTGCAGAAAGTTGCCTGCAGAGTCACTGAGTTCTCACAGATGTCCTCGGGTCAGGCTGAGGGGAGCCAGCAAAACCATCACTGTTTCTCTGTATCAGTGTGACTGGTGTTCAGTCATAGGCAAACCTTCCTAATACTTAAGGCTGTGTGCCTTCCCTGCTCACCTGACTTTTTGTATTTGTCGATTTTGTTAGAATGAAGAAAAAATTTAAATTAGCCTAAAAATTAGTGTTCAGAGGACAAGGAATTGGATGGGAGGTGAAAGATAGGAGAGAAGCCAGGTGTGGTGCATGGAGCATGTTAGATAAAATGGTGGTAAAAAAGAAAGATCAGGGTGCAGTAGGAAGATGGGATACAGCTTAATAGGGTGAGTTTGAGGTACACCTAAGGAGCCCTAGAGCAGACACTGCTGAATATTAGAACATGCAGGAGAGCTGAGGAGAGGTGAGACACCTGAAGCTGAGGACACAGGTAGAAACCTGCAGCTGGAGAGTGACTCTGACCATATGGACAGACTACAACTAAGGATGGAATCCTGAGGAATTCCGTCCTTTGCATCTGGAGGAGGAGAAAGATCCAGGAAGGAAAATGGCCAGCAGTTAAGTGATAGAGAAAATCACAACAAATGATGCTGAAGGGCATGCTTCTCTTGAAGTCAGAGATGGCCCGGGGCACAGAATGTTTGAGTCTATCACCTTTCCAACTTCCCATTTCCCACGTGCTCATCCAGTGGTGGACCAGTCCTCAAGCTAGGCTCATGTCTGTTCCCCAGATGGTCTCAGGAAGGCAGAAAATTTCCCAACAGCCCATGGACTACATCTTTCTCTTCCTTCCTTGATTTTTTTGAGATAGGTTCTCATGCAGTCCTATCAAAATAACCTCAAGCTTACTATGTAGCCAAGAATGTCCATGAACCCCCGTTCCTCCTGTCTCAACTTTCCAGGGCAAAGATTCCTAGTGTGTGCCACCATACCTGAACTGGGATTTTTCCATATGCATATAGACCCACCTCTCATTTCTCAAACTGTTACCATTCAACCTGAAGTTAGGACCAGGAATGCATGTGTTCCTGTCCAGATGTCACTCAGATATATCCTGCTTCCTGTGTTAAAGGTGATCATAAAAATATCCCACCAGCATCCCAAGAAATATAATGAGGAACTTGTTGGGATACATTGTGAGTGACAGGAAACAGAAACCTGCCAATCAAGGGTCATAGGTGTTGTTGGTTAGGGGCTTCCTACAGGGACAGACACAGGGAAGAAACTAATAGACATTCTAGACCCTCTCAGTTATTTATAATTTTTGAGTATTTGTTTGTAGGTTTTGTTGTTGTTGTTACAAGGCTTCACATTATCCTCAAACTCATGATTCTAGTGCCTTAATCTCCTGAGTCTGGTGCCTTAATCCATGCACCCATCTTAGGCCTTCTGACATTTCCAGATATCTACGCAGGATGTAACATTGAACCGTAAGTTTGGTTTTAGGCTGGGATTCCCACACACAGCAGTGGTTCATTCATAACCCACTTCTGCACCCTGAACACAAATGTGATTATGTACTGTTCAGTGGCTATGTGTTTGTCTGTTTATTATTTCTGTATAAAGTATTGGTTTTGATAAATAGATCATACTTTCAATAGCAGCAAGGAAAAATAATGCTAAAGTTTAACTTCTTTAAATGAAAACTAAATTTGACTACAGGCTCTCTGTATTAGTCCTGGCAAGGAGTCCCACCTCTGCTGACTCTGCAGTTTTTTTCCCCTTTTTCAGAACAAAGTTCTCCTTATACTTCCAGAAAATGATGTCAGGGCTTTGTTCTCTGTCTTGGTTTTCTTTCCTGCTCCTGTGATAAAAATACCCTGACAAAGGGAACTTGAGAGAGAAGAAAGAGCTGGACTAGAAATTCTAGGTGATAGTCTATCCATGGCAACTCTTACAGATGGAAATATTTTATTGGGCTGGCTTATAATTCAGTGGTTTAGTTCATGATCATGGCAGGGAACATGGCAATATACAGACAGACATGGTGCTGGGGAGGCAGCTGTGAGTTCTACATCTGGATCTGCAGGCAGCAGGAAGTGACTACAGGTTATTAGAACTGGTTTGAGTTACAAGGACCATCTAGTGACACACTTCTTCTAACAAGGCCACACCTACTCCAACAAGGCCACACCTCCTGATAGTACCTTTCCTGTTGACGTATACGTATGGGGGCCATTTTTATTCAAAACCCACACTAGCCTTTTGGGACAGGATCTTTAGTTTTATAAGGAAGATGGTTTTGGGTCTGGTTCACGGACCCTTTCTCCCAAACATCACTGAAGACCAGAAAGTCTCATTTTGCACACCCTTTTCCATGTTTTTTCTTAAATATCCCTGAGAAAAGCTTCAGGGTCCTCACAGATTCATGCAAAGGCCATGTACAGAAGGTGTCACAGTGGTGTCTCCAGTGATGCAGATGTTGTATTTCTAGATGGAGAACTCAGATGAGTGTGAGGTGTGTCGGGAAGTAGGAATGCTCTTCTGCTGTGATACTTGTCCCAGAGCCTTCCATGAAGAGTGTCACATCCCAGCGGTGGATGCTGAGATGTGAGTGAGATTCGATACCCTTTCCTTGTCATACACAGTACCCTTTTAGCGTGGAAGCCTGTGTGTGGATCCGGGGAAAGCAAGAGCTCTTAATAACAGGTATCAAATAGGAACCTCCAGAGAATTGTTTCAAGATGCTGTCATCAAAAGGCTAATGTTCTTTGTGTTAGGGATACCTCACCTGATGCAAAGGCCAGGCCCTTTGCCTACATATGGCTACTGCATTTTCTCACAATTGTGCAATGAAGCCTCTTGTCCAAAAGTTTGGGCGTTTTATATACCAATTGCTTTTTTCTCTACATACTTGTGAAAGAAAGAAGCATTACCACTGCCCACATTTCACCACGTGGTAATGGACTCTTGGAGGTTCAAGGTTCCCAGAATCTTTTGAAGACCATTTTACCGTGTTCAGCCATGATATCCTGGTCCCCTTGTGCTCCTAGCAACCTCAGTCAAGAAATATAGACACAGCACTCACTTGAAAGCCCATTTTCTAAAGACTGGCTCCTAATAGGAAAGCTGGCATATTAAGAGCCTACCTGGGGTCCTTTAGAGCCTGGGAACCCCTTCCCCAGATGAGACTGTCTGCCAATCCTGAAAGCCCAGCGGCAGACATGTGAAGAATAGCTGTTTTCAATGATCTTGTCCCCTGCTCACTTCACATGCAATGTTTTAGAACACCGTGGAGTTGCGTCTTCTGTAGGACTCAGTCCTTAGGAAGCCAAGAGAGTCGTCCAGAGTCTGAGATCCTGCAGAGGCAGATGGTGCCCCAGGAACAGTTGGTGAGTCACTGGGAACCCCACACTTTCTCCATTCCCCTGGAAGAGGACAACCAGGCTGGGAGCCAGGACAATAGCACCCAAAGGATGTCTTTGCCTCCAAGCCACACTCCATCATGCTGCAATCATGGCATAACCTCGTGGTATAAAAATAACTCAGTCATTACCAAAGCACTCATGTTGGGCAAAGTTCCTGATGGGCGTGAGTAGTGCCTTCCTCCTGGGTGTGTGTGTAGACTCTGCCTTTCTGAGTCATTTGACTGAGTCCCTTTCTCTTGCAGAAGTGTGAGTTTGTTCTCTTGAGAGTCTATTGCTGTCCTGAGAGCTCCTTTTTTTCCAAGATGCCATATTATTGTTATGTAAGTAAAGGTGGTGAACCTCTTGCATCCATGATGTCATGTGACTGGGAAGGGCACTTGTGGGATTGTGACTGTAATCCCCAAGGAGCACAGGCTCTGTTGTTTCTGGGACCCCATGGAAGGGAAATGCTGAGCCTGCCAGTCATTCTGCCATTGTTATTTCTCTCACCACTTTAAGGACCGGGTTGTGCTTGTGCAGGAACCTATGTGGTTGGACATCATTAAGAAGAAGCTGAGTCAGCAGGCCTATTCCAAAGTGAAACAGTTTGTGCAAGACATGAGGCTCATCTTCCACAATCACAGAACCACATTCAAGGTCAGCATCTCTCTCTGACTACATCTCCTCTTCTGGGTTACGCCACACCTCATTTTCTGCTTACTGGAAAGTTTAGTTTCCTGTATCCTCCTGTAATAACGTTCCCTAAAGAAGAGATCTGAGTGTGCCAGACACAGCGGTACATGCCTGCGATGGCAACATTCAAAAGGTTGAGGCAGGAGGATTGTCTTCTGTTCAAAGACTGCCTGGTATACAGTACGAGACAATATCTCAAAAAAGAAAAAAAAATGGGAGTGAATTTTCCTTTGGTTTAGTTTCTAAAAAGTGTCTCACCAAAGGAGAGGTCCCCAGCACCACAGAACTCACTTCTCTTCTGGTCTACAAGGCTACAGGACCACACAGAGGAAAATTAAGCCAACCCCAACCCACAGAGGAGAATAATTTAAAAAGTATTTGTATGTCCCATTTGGGCACGGTGGCATAGACTTTTAATCCTACCATATGGGAAGCAGAGGCAGCAGATCTCTGAGTCTGACGCTGGCCTGGTCTACAGAGAAAGTTCAAGAACAGCCAGGCGCGTACACAGCGATATCCTGTCTGGAAAAAAGTGTGTGTGTGTTGTGTGTGACTGTGTGTGTGTGTGTGTGTGTATGTGACTGTGTGTGTGTGTGTGTGTGACTGTGTGTGTATGTGTATCTCTTTGTGTCCATGTCTGTATATGCATGTGTCTCTGTATGTGTTTTTGGCACAAGGCACACTGTATGTACATGTGAGTGTAGGGGTCTCTGGAGTCCAGAGGCATCAGATCACACAAAGCTGCTGCTGTAACTGCCTGCCATGAGTCCTGGGCAGGAGCACAGGGTGCTGTTAACCACTGAGCCATCTCTCTAGATCCTGGTTTAAATCTTTGTGTGTGTATGAATGTGAAATGTGTATGTTTACATGAGTGTGTGCATGCTTGTGTGTGTGTTCAGATGTGTTTGTGTGTGTGCACACGCATGTGCTGTAATATACATGAGAATCAAGTTGGAGGGCAAGCTTGTATGTTATTCTCTACATTTCAGCTTCTTTGAGACAAGGCACCTGTTTGCCTCCATGGAGTTCTGGGATGACAGATGTGGGCTACCACATGTGGCTTTCCATGGATTCTGGGGATCTGATTTCAGGTGCTCACACTTGTGTGACAAACACTGACCCAGAGGGTCATCACCCAGCCTGAGAATTTTTCTGACTCTTATCTTTCCCTAGGTGGGATTATCAGAAATACCAAAGATTAGGTTTCTTTTTACATAAATAATCCATGAAGTTGACAGGATCCATCAGAGAACACAAGTACCAAGAAGGAAATGTTTGTTTCACTGACATGAGCCTCATCATTCTTGTCTTTGTTGCTGTTGTTGTTGTTGTTGTTATTATTATTATTATTATTATTATTACTTAGGAACCCAAGTTTGGCCAAATGGGTCTTCAACTGGAGTCCAAGTTTGAGAAGACTTTCAAGGAAGTGTTTGCTATAGGAAACAAGTGAAAACAGTTGACTGCCATCACAGATGCTGCTGGTGTCCTGGTCCAATCTGCTCTTCTGGCCATGTCTTCCCACCTGCATTGGCAATGATTATTTGCTACCAATCCGTCATCCCCTGGAGGATTGCTCTGGCTCATATGGAGACAGGTGTTGCTGGTAGTTACACCTCCTGGACTTGGGGTCCATCCCCTGCCTTCAGCTGGAACCAAGGGTGTGGTACATTGCTGCTTGAACCTCTCTGCTGCTGCATTAGCTTCCCCGCCCTTCTTTCCTTGTCGCCAACTCCTGAGAACAATCCCCAATAAACCACAACCTTCCAAGACTTCAAATCACGTGATAGCTCATTCCTATAGTTCCGGTCCTTGGGAGGCTAGGGCAGGAGGGTAGCTGCAATTGTGATGGTAGCCTGGGTTACTTGGTGATCTTCAGCTACCCTGGGTTGGTAAAGTAAGATCATGATTTCAGGAAGAAAAAAGAAACATTCACCAAGTAAGAGAGAAAAGGCCTCCACTCTGGATCTTCCTCTAGAAGACTCAGCATAAGATAATGTCCTAAAACCAAAGTCTCAGTGTGGCATTCTAGAGTTGGGTCACTGTCCAAGCAAAAGGTGACTGGAGGGGTATCCATAGCTCCTCAGATGCTAAACCAGTTCAGGGCTCAAATATGTATGTTATTGTGAGGCAAATTGATGGGTTTATATTAATCATGTGTTTATAAAGAGCCTGGCCCTGTATGTAATCCACACAGCACAAGCATGCTTCAATGACTCAAGATTCATTAACACCCAGAGAGACTTAATTAATATATATTAGACAAAAAAGACGCATCAGTGGTGAAATCCATAGTGGTGAGAGAAAGGGCAGGGAATCTGGGATGCTAAGCTGGCAAACAGCCCAGGAAGCAAGACAGAAGACAGCTTCAGTCATTGATATATGAAACACCTCTTGGGATCTTATTTAAAAAAAATACTGAAAACACAAGAAATCTACACAAAGAAACCCAAAGAACCTTTTTTATAACTCTTCACTCCAGATACTGGGAATTCCCTCTAGCCTAGAGAATTAGCTGGGATTGCTCAGGTGTGTTGACCAATGATCTCTCTACCCATATACCAAAGGAAGAGACAATGTTCATCCAAAGGTACCAGGTACCACCACCAAATGGGGGCCTGGATGTGGCAGCCTATTTGGAGTTAATGGCAAATTGGAATGCACACCTGAGCAGTGGAACTCGGCCTCTCAGCCTTGGTTACTATCTAAAACTTGGAGGCAAAGAGGTTGACCCTAGCAATTCTACAGCAGAGGGTTCTGACCCTAAGAACTAGATAGCAAATTCCTTGCTGCCATGGTAACCAGACAGCAGACTCTGTGAAACCTTGAGTGAGCTCTCCTATGTTTTGACCAAGTAAAGGCTACACAGAGAAACCCTGTCTTATAAGACAAACAAACAAAAAACAGTAAAGACTACTTAATAAGTGTCTAAATCAAGAACCAGATCCGAGGCTATCACTCCATCTCCTTCAGGAAAGACAAGGAATTCTCAGGCTTCCTAGAACATCTCCTACATCAGTTCTGTCAAGATGGATGATAGGATTCTTTGAGCCAATTCAGGCCAAGTTAAAATATGAAGGCAGGTTTATTGGGGGACATCTCTTAGGTGTGTTCATTGGTCCCAAGGAATGCGGCCAAGGAAAAGCCATGTAGACCAGGAGACAGAAGAAAGGAAGAGAAAAGTGTGCTCAGGCACACAAAGAGAGAGAAATGTGGCGACAAGAAGAAACCAAAATGTCCCGAATACATAGGGAAGAGCGTCTCGGGAAGAGAAGCCCGGTCCATGTGCTGGGGAGTTCAGGACAGAGGACTGGGTATACCAGCCACACTTTGGAACAGGAAGGGACTGGGGAATGCTGGGAGAACCTGGAGGCCAGGTCTGCTTTGATAAGTTAAATAGGCTCCTCAGCCCCTGAGTCTGAAACCCAGCAATGGCCTGCACTAACTCCAACTGAAAGTCTAGAAGAATCCATGTCATTTCCACAGCGGGGTGTTTACTTGGCTGAAACGGGCCCTTTCCTGTCAGCATGAAAGCACCAGGCTGTGGGGGCTCTGAGCTGTGTCTCTCTTCTCAAAGTCATGCCTTACTTCTTCTGCTGCTGGCAGGGCCACATCTGCTGCCCAAGTGAGTAGGAAGCTCAGAGGGCTATGTCTGGATCCTCTCATGACTCCAGAGTAAGTGCTGGGTATAGGAATGATCAGGACACTTATTGCTGCTGATTGGTGAGAAGCAGCTCTCAGACACTGAGAGAAGAAAAGGAGAGATACAGAAAGACAGAAGACAACAGAAAAGAGAGGAGGTGGGGACCAAATTCTGGATTAGATCCTGAAGGGAAGCCTATGCCTGTGGGCAAGATAATTCGGGGTACCGGGTAGGGAATGTCAGCTGTACACTGCAGCAGGTAGAGATGCCTGAAACGAAACATCAGCCTTTTGTCAAAAAGAAATGGACAGGCGGGGTAGTAACCATCTTTGGCTGTTTCTTGCTGGGTATGGGACCATCAATGTTGGGAGTAGAGGGACAAAAAGCTAAAATTTTGGCCACATCTGGAAAGAACATGCTCTTCTAGTTTCTGTCTAGGATCTATGAGACTATCTGTGGCTAGGAAAATGAGGCCCAGCCGAGGCAACCTGTGAGATTTAGGCCAGAGCACCTGCGTTCAATATGCAGCTTTTGAGGAAACACTTGAACCTGGCAGGATGCTAGAACATATATACATATTAGGAACAGAATATATATCTGAGACTTTTAGGCCAATGGTTTTGGTAGTTGGGGGGGGGGGGTGAGTCCCAGACCAGGGAAAAGGCACTAAGATCCCACCATTAGCCAACCAGGCTGCTGACTGACAGTCCATTTGTCCTGTGAGAAGTATATTTCCTCTGAAGCTTACAAGAATCTTTTTAAGTTTACAAAAGGAGACAAATTTAAAATATGCTAGCATCCCCTCCAACCTTCATAACTTGCATTTACCAAAACACTTTCTCAGACCCTCAAACCCTTTCTTAGTTCCTTAGACCTTACGTAAACTTTACACTTTTCTGAGAAGGCAGCTGAAGCCTTGGTTTCTACTGTTAAACTGATCTTCAAAAGCATCAAAGACCTGAGAAAGATTAAAACTACCACAGGAAGCATAATGCAACATGCCAATGTATTGATTAATATGACAGAGTTTTACCCATTATGCAGACTGCCTTCCCACTAGGACCTTGCAGTGTCAATGGCTTTGTTGTGGGCACAGGTACTAGGACAGCAACAGTCTTCAGCTGCTAGGGCTAGCAAATCTGAGAGGCCTTTCTGCAGAGGAGGAACTTGGGAGAATGATCGACCACCTTTATTTTGTCTAGGCAAAATGGGGAAGTCAACTCTCTGGGGGTCCTGTTTGTCAACAGTTCACGCAAGGCCTTAGCAGTGGAGGAGGCACTGGGGCAGAATTGGCCAGGATCACAATCCAGGTGGAGTCATCTGTTGTTGTGCCCAAATCTTCTTGGAGGCTTTGAGGTCACCACTAAAAGCTGGTATCTCTGTCATACTAAGCTTTTTTAGATTAAACCTTTAACTTCCATTATGTGCAGGTTCTCTGACAGGTGTGAGGACCACGATCTGCTAAGTGCAGCTGAGCTAAAAAAACATCACTTATTTTTGATTACACAAACTAGTCTTGATCTTTTTTTTTCTTTTTTTTATTAATTACACTTTATTCATTTTGTATCCCCCCCATTAAGCCCCTTCCTCCTCCCCTCCTGATCCCACCCTCCCTCCCCTTTCTGCATGCATGCCACTCCCCATGTCCACTGATAGGGGAGGTTCTCCTCTTCTTTCTGATCTTAGTCTATCAGTTCTCATCAAAAGTGGCTGCATTGTCCTCTACTGTGCCCTGGTAGGGCTGCTCCCCCCTCAGGGGGAAGTGATCAACGAGCAGGCCAATCAGATTATGCCAGATGCAGTCCCTCTTCCCATTACTATGTAACTCACTTGGACACTGAACTGCCATGGGCTACACCTGTGCAGGAGTTCCAGGTCATCTCCATGAATAATCCTTGGTTGGAGTATGATTTTCTGGGAAGTTCCCTGTGTTCAAATTATCTTGTTCTGTTGCTCTCCTTGTGGAGTTCCCGTCCCCTCCAGCTCTTACTATTTCCCACTTCTTACATAAAATTCCATTCACTCTGCCCATCAGTTGGCCATCAGGCTCAGCATCTGCTTTGACAGTCTATACTGCAGAAGCTTTCAGAGGCCCTCTGTGGCAGGTTTCAAGGTTGTTTCCTGTTTTCTTTTTCTTCTGATGTCCATCCTCTTTGCCTTTCAGGATGGGGATTGAACATTTTAGTTAGGGTCCTCTTTTTTGCTTAGTTGGTTTAGATGTACAGATTTTAGTGGGTTTATTCTATGTTGTATGTTTATATGAGTGAGTATATACCGTGTGTGTCTTTTTGCTTCTGGGACAACTCACTCCGGATGATCCTTTCCAGGTCCCACCATTTACCTGCAAATTTCATGATTTCCTTATTTTTCATTTCTGAGTAATACTCCATTGTATAGATGTAGCACAGTTTCTGCATCCATTCTTCAGTTGAGGGGCATCTGGGTTGTTTCCAGCTTCTGGCTATTACAAATAAAGCTGCTACAAACATGGTTGAGCAAATGTCCTTTTTGTGTACTTGCGCCTCTTTTGGGTATATGCCTAGGAGTGGTATGGCTGGATCTTGAGGAAGCGCTATTCCTAGTTGTCTGAGAAAGCGCCAGATTGATTTCCAGAGTGGTTGTACCAGTTTACATTCCCACCAGCAGTGGAGAAGGGTTCCCCTTTCTCCACAACCTCTCCAGCATGTGTTGTCCCTTGTGTTTTTCATCTTGGCCATTCTGATGGGTGTAAGGTGAAATCTCAGGGTCATTTTGATTTGCATTTCCCTAATGGCTAATGAGGTTGAGCATTTCTTTAAGTGCTTCTCTGCCATTCGATATTCCTCTACAGAGAATTCTCTCTTTAGCTCTGTTCCCCATTTTTTAAGTGGATTACTTGGTTTATTGCTTTTCAGCTTGTTAAGTTCTTTATATATATTGGATATGAGTCCTCTGTCAGATAAAGGGTTGGTGATGATTCTTTCCCAATCTGTAGGCAGTCGCTTTGTTTTGATGACGGTGTCCTTTGCTTTACAGAAGCTTTTCAATTTCATGAGGTCCCATTTATTGATTGTTGCTCTTAGAGCCTGTGCTGTTGGTGTTCTGTTCAGGGAGTTTTCTCCTGTACCAATGAGTTCTAGGGT